CTCTGAGAATGCCAGACAGAAAGCCGTGGAAACCAGGCTTTATTCTGCTGGTCTTCTGTCTTTTCATATAGGATTTTAAGTAAGATCTATTAAAAAAATGAAATTGAGAGTATGAATGTGTGTAGCAAAACATGTTCCCAGTAATTCTATTAAAAAAGCAACCAACCACCACCACCACCCCCCCAGCCCCCAACAAACCCAGGAGAGAGGTTGCCTTGTTCACCAGAGTGTTTTACTGATGAACTGCACATAAAAATTAATTCCAAGGAAAGGCAATTTTATGAGATGTCTGATCACCCACCAACATTTCAGGGATTCTGTTGGCATAGTTGTAGAGATTTTATGCCTTTAGTTGGTACGACAGTGTTGTTAATGTTACAGAGAAAACCAAAAATTGTGGCCTGTGTGTTGGAGTAACACTAAGATTTGGAATTGGCTGCTTAGCACTGATTTATGCTCCTATTAATTTACTTCTTACCAACTATATTTATGAACACTTTACTGCACAGTGAAATAATTCCTTATAATGACTTATTTCATAGTTGCAATGCACTAGTCTGTTCACAGTATGATGTTGCTAGGATGCTCTTTAATAATTACGAATTTCCAGTTTTTACCTGTTTTTGACCAATTTCAGAAGACTGACTGCGTTGAACATTAAGTAGTACTTTAAAATGCATCTGTTTTAGAGGAATATGAAAATGTAGAACAGAAGCAAGATGCTTTTTGTTCTAATACAAAATAAGAATTGTTGCTCTCTTACCTCTGACTTATTGTTTAAAATTTAGCAAACTCACCTGGCCTTAGATTCTGACATATTCATATAAATTGTCTGATATTAAGAAAGATATAAAATATAATTCAAGACTGCTGCTTAGAAGTCATGAGCCTATTTCTTCCTGGCCTGTTCTGAAGCCACCTTACTGTTAAATAATTTGTTTTTTGGTGATGACTTTAAAGTTGTTATTTTTTTTAGAAATGTTCTTGAGAAGAAAATATATTAAACTTTGGGGTGGAAGTTATTACAAAAATTGCTATGCAACATTTGAAAAGCAAAAAGGTCTTTAATTTACTAATGTGATTTTAATTAGAGAAATGGAAAGGTTACTTTAATTGCTTTAGTGCAATAAAAAAGAAATTTTCTGTTACGTCTTTTCGGAATGAACTTATGCACTACATAACACTAACTTCTCGTTGCAGATGATTTTGGTGTCACCTGGTCTTTAAACAGAGTATCATTCATAAGCAGTGCGTGGACATTGAATTGTTAGTGTTCGTAAAAGCTAATCAAATTGACTCATAATTATGTTAATGATATTTTAAAGAAAACTGTGTTGGAACTTTTTATATTATGTGCTTTAATTTTCCTTTTGGGGGAATTCTGTCCCACTTCGGCATTCTTGCTCTCAAAGCTGCTCCTTGTGGGATAGTGTTTTCTGTGGAATTGTGCCCTTTTGTGATGCTTTGAGATCTGTCTTTGTATTTGTTTTCCCCATCCTAGTTTCTTCTATTTTTCCAAGAAAACCAGTTTCAATAGCCTTTATTTTCTCAGATAAATATCTTCCTGCATCTGGGATGCTCCTAGAGTCTGTTCAGTATGTGCTGTTGACCTCATGCGGGTAGTCATTCAGCACCACCTGTGGGAAACCATCTTCTTCCTTTGCAGCTACTTCCTTATTCTCACTCAGCCTGCTTCTGTGAGGCCTGTGCTCTTATCTGTCAGATGAGTTTATCATTTCAACTGAAAACCTACTGTAGGGCAGTGTCTGACGCAGTCAGGGGGCTGTAATGCACGGGCAGTCCGTCGGTGGCCAGCTTGCCAAGGCAGCAAGCCAGCTTGCTCCAGACAGTGATCTTTTCTGCCATTCCTGTGGGTACTGCCAGTTTTTTATAGATGCAAATGTGCACCAAAGTCCAGTGTTTCTGGTACAGGAGCACAGGTCTGTGTAGTCAGTAAGTATTACACTTTTGCCTTGGATTTGGTGTACGTTATCCACAAGGACCGTGTCCTCTGTGCTCATCTGCAGTGCTGTTATGTTCTGGCTTGAGTGCGTGGCTCCAGTGCCTTGGTAGGAATTGTATGATACCTCATGGCAGGAAGGCTGAAGCAAGTGCTTTAAAGGAAGAAAGGTGAAGTATATTTTGTAGAAAAAGACAGTGTGCTACATAGATTCGTAGCTCTTATATTCATTGTTGTAAGTATAATGCATATTTTTCTGTAAATTCCAGGTTGTGAGCCATGCCTTTGGTGAAAAGGAACATCGAACCGCGGCATCTCTGCCGAGGAGCTCTGCCAGAGGGAATTACTAGTGAACTGGAATGTGTAACGAATAGTACCCTCGCTGCCATCATACGCCAGCTGAGCAGCTTAAGTAAGTATCTGGAACTTCCTGCAAGTGTTTGATTCCTGATGAAAAACTGAATAAATGAAAAGCTTTAAGATGGCTTGTTTAAATAGTAAAATTATGATACAGGACCTTGCTACTTAGGTAATATAATACTATAATTCTGTCTCATTGCTTTTATGCTTTTCTGTATTTTGAAGTTTATACAAGCAGAGCCTCGCTAAGGTTTGCAAGTGTAAAAAAAAAAAACCAAAAAAAACCCCAACCAACCAAGCAAGAAAAAACAACAAAAAAACCCTAACCAACCAAATAATTATGGCATAGAAAATCAGGCTAAGTTGAGAGGATTTCATGTAAGAAACAAGACTGGCACTTGAATTTTTCTTGGCTTTCAGTTGTACAAGATGAAGCCAGCAAACTCTTCTGCCTCTTGGCATCACATGACACATTTGACTGATATTTCAGTTCATCTGAAATACTTCTTAAATCTTTTCTTTGTATGTATGTGTGATCAGTTCATGTGAATGAAATTAAGCACATAGATCAAAGGAATGGCATTCACTGAACAAACCTGTAGGCTACTCTTAGGCAAGCTAGCATCAGCTCCATACAGAGTAGCCTACACAGTACACCTGTCAGTTGACACCACAACTAGCAATTGTAGAAGCATGTCTGGAGTGCTTGCAAGAAGAATAATGTTTCTTAATGAATCGGAAAAGTCTCTTCAGAGAATCTTTAACAATCAGCAGCTGTTGTTTGTGCCGATATCTCTGGTCCTAGAAAAGAAACTGCTTCATCAGTTTCTTCACTTTGTAAATGGAAATGGTTTAAGAATGTAACAAAGTCTGTATGGAGTTTAGAAGACGGGTCCCACTAAGTCTGGTGTTCAATTTGTGATGACAGGAAATAGCCGATGCTTAGGGGAAGAGTACAAAAAACACGGCATGTTCCACTTTCAAGTAGTCAGTGATTCAGGGATTTTCTGAGCTTGAGATCCATCGGAATCATCCTGTGTAGCAAGTATCTGTAAACCTGTCATCTGTGGAATTGCTCAGATGTGTTTGCATAGGGATTGCACTTTTTTCTTGACCAATGACCTGTGACAGAATGTGCCACAATAGAAGTTGATCTGTTTCTTCCTTTGGGTACCTGCTGGTTCTTGAGTTACGAAAAATAATGAAAGGTGACTTAATTTTGTGTATTTCTGTAATCATCTGTGATTTTATTAAACCTTTATTGTGTTCTCCTAGTGATATCTTTTCCAGGTTGGAGTGTCCGGATCTGTTAGCACTCTTTTTTGGATAGAAACCATTTTCTATGTCTGATCATTGTTATTTCTGCATTGGGTATGTAAATTAGAGTATGTTGGGGTCTTTTTAAGGTGGAGCGTTGGGGACTTCACATCACAATCAAAACAGCCTTTTTCTGTTTTCTCATTAGTTCCCTAAGAATTTATAAAATGTTGATTGCTGCTGAACGTTTAGTTGATATTTTCAGAGAAGCTTCCAAGTGATTCTCTGGTCTTTCTTGAGCAGTAGCTGCCGATTTAGTGTCTAATGTTATTTATGGTTAATTTGTGTTTGTGTTGTCATTGAGTTTGTTACCATTTTATCAGGCAGTTGCTCAGTATTGACATCCTTAAGTTTCAGAAAATTGAGAAGAATGGCTAATGTCTCCTCATTACGTTCAAGGATATCTGAAAAGACTTCATTTTAGTGCTGTACAATGGTTGCCAAAGTGCGGATAATACACACTTCACTTGTCTGGCTTGCTAGGATTGTCTAGCTTTCATTTCTCCAGATTTGGTCTTGGGGCTAATCTGCCTGTTACGTTGCGTATTCAGATTCTCTTATGATTGTTGCTGAGGAACTGGCTGCTTACATGATCCCTATCCTGCAATTTTCCCTTGGCGGATTTCTCCAGTCATCAGAATTCTCTGTAGACCACCCTAAAGTACTTTATTAGTGTCAAGTTAAAGATCTAAGCAAATAAATGGTGTGCTCTTTGCTTTAACAGATGAATACATGGTATTTGATGAGTGAAGTCCACCACCAGGCTTGTCCACAGTCTAAAATCTGTCATGTTTTGCAGAGGGTTTTTTTCTGCAGGCAGCGTTTGTTTTGCTTGTGTTTCAAACCAACTGGGAGCAAGGAAATGATAACAGAAAAATGCTGTGCTGGAGCTGAAGTAGTATGTCCTGCTGACAGCATCAGAGCTTGTTGGTGTTTCCACAGCTTGAAGCACAGAGAGAGCAAGCACAGGTCCATGTTGCAGTCACGCTGTGGTTCAATGTTGCACTGTGAGTTCAGCGTGGATTTTAAAAACTGGCAGATCTGTGCTCTTGCGTACAGATTTGGCTTGCTTCTGTCTCTGCTCTTTTCAAGAGACATGAACAAGTTCCCTATGCAAAGGGAATGTGCTCTCAGCAGAGCTTTTTTCTACTATGTCTTCAGATTTGGTTTTGTTTGCAGCCAGCTGGCTCAGAGCACAGGCGGTGAGCAGCGTTCTGTATGAAACTGTGCACTTTTAAATAAGGCAAAAGCTTGACTAGAGGTTTCACCTCCGCTTGGGAGGAGAGAATCTGCTGGGGGAGGGGGGGGGGGCGG